TGTTTACATGATTCTGTCCTTATTAGAGGGAAATGTCCCTTAAATCAATGGACTGTAGTGTGGCAGTGACCTATCCACCCTAGTTCATAGTCCAGTCACCGCAAAGCAAAATGAGCCTTAATGACACTCATTTACAGATAGGAGTTACTGACTGCAGTAAGAGCTGCTACAACAAACTCATTCTTTAAGGTTAAAAAGTTAAAACCAAAAGCCCCTCGGTTCTAGGAGTTAATAGCAGTGAGCTGCACAGAATGTAGTCAGGAAATTAGATGTGTAATCCACTAATGCACTGAGCAGGTAGCTTTCTGTACCTAATGAAACCCAGGGCCACACAGCACGACTTGCTCCACAGGCTTGTTTACCCTTCATTGGCCACTGGGTTGCTCTTTGCTCCCCCTCCCATGTTCCCAGCCCCTAGTCGCTAGGTCATGAGTGGAGGGGACAGTTGCCACTCTAGGACTGGAGCATCTACTCCTTCAGCCTCTCCTGCTTGGAAAATCACATCCCAGCCTAGGAAGGGCCTTACCTACAAATGAAAGATTCCTAAGAAATGATATCTAGTTCTTTGGGATTAAAATGTGGAAAAGAAATTCCAGCAGATGGAGGCTAATTGAACTAGATGAGCTCACAGAAACCAGGGGTCAGGTTGGTTGTAGGACAGGAAGGCCTGTAGCCTCTACAGAGTTGATTCTGGGTCAGTGCAGGAGAGAGTGTTTACATGATCTCTTTGGCTTAGGAGTTACAGAGTTCCATTATTTCTTGACAATGATATAATTAAATAAAGTCTCTATCATTGTCTACAAGGTGGGAGAGGCATAAATCAAACTAGCATCAGCTTTCCTCAATTCCTAAATGTGCTTACATTTGTTTGGAATGACCGTTTTGATTCAATTGTGCTCTGTCACTCATCAGTAATTCCATCAGCCCAATTTCATGTACATAAATCTTGAGCCCTGGGGAGGATGTGTTCTGCAAATCCTGTTAGCTGCAGAAGGAGACATGAGCCATTGCAGTAAAACTACGATGATGGAACAGTGGCCAACATCACACTACAGGTATTTGATCGATTTGTTGTGGATGCAAAGAACAATCATTAAAAGCAATCATGGTAAAAGTACATGAGGGACTAGGCTTCTCTGAGAACCAGGAACGGAGGATGTACCCTTAGGTCTTTAATTCCTCAGACCCAAACAGGAGGCTGCTTGGGAGAAAGCAAACCGCTCAGCAAAAGACAAGAGAGCTGGTAGCGTTCATTCTGTGATCCGTCACATTCACTCTACACCTGGCTTCCCAGGCGCAGGAATACCTGCGGAGGCCAACTGAGAGCTACATGCCAGGATGCAAAGTGGGCAGGGTGTCTGCCCATGGAGTTCAGAGCCTCGTGGAGCAGATCGACACCTGCCCCAGACCATGCAGTGGATGCAGTTGTGGTTGTGATGGTTGAGAAAGGACAGGGCACAGCACTCTTGGAAACGGGGGAGTTACTTACCGAAGGGCACAGCTGGGCTTTCCCCAGGGAAGAGAGGATTCAGCTGAACTCCACAGGAAGCGTGGGGATCAACTAGGAGAAGGGGCTTGCAGGTGGAGGGAGAGAGACCTGTGTGCCTGGGTTTGAGAGGGCACTGTGAGCGGGGTTGAGAGGCTGCTCGGGCCATGCAGGGCCCTTTGGGCCCAGTGCAGGAGTTTTGGTTTTATCTTACTGAAGAGTATTAAGCAGAAAGTGACATATTGGGAAGGCCGCTTTGACCGTAGAGTGGTGAGTGCCACAGCTAGCTGGGAGCAGGGGTATGTGGGAGCAGGGTCAGACCCTACAGAGCATCAGCAGTTCAGGAGCAGCCAGGCAGGCCCAACCTGGGCTGGGCAGGTGGGCACAAACAAGCACGGACCTGGAAGGGGACCTCTTCCTGGAGCAAAGGCGGGTCCGCCATGCCCTCCTTGGGTACACCTGCCTGGGAAGCAGCCACAGCTGCAGAGGGGGCTCTGGTGCTCTCGGCCTTTCAGTTAAATTCTCACCACAGAGACGCCTGGCCTGCCCTTCCTCGGCTGCTGCTGCTGGGCTGTTCCTGCTGTAGGTCCAGCTCTCTGGGTTGGCCCTAGCAAATGCTAGTCACTGCTTTCGCTTATCACCGTGTGTCTCAGGAGTTCAGAAAAGGGATTGGCTCCTCAGGGAAGCAGAGAACTCTTGTTGGATGACACCGAGGTGGCCTTTGAGCTGAGGATGAACAGAGACCTGAATGGAGGAGGCGAGAGGAGTCCATGCCTTACTACTGGGAGAAGGTGGGAGATGCCATTTGAGCCCGATAACAGCATGCGCGGAAACAGAGGCAGAGGAGGAAGACCTGGGAGGCAGGAGGGTAGCACCTGAGAGCCCAGCCTGCCTTGGTGAAATCCTCCACCCTACGCGCTCGCTAGCATTGTGACCACAGGCGAATGCCTTTGCTGCTGTTTCCCTACGTGTGAAATGAGAACCAGGTCACCAACCTCGTAGGGTCGTTGTGGACAGTAAGTCCAGCACATGGAAAGCGCCATGTCAGTGTTCAGGGTTACTCCAGCAGCAGGAGGCCATATCACGAACAAAGTTAGAGGTTGTACGATGAAGGGGTCAAAACCCAGGCTGCAGCGTTGGCAGATATTGGGGATTTTCCTGATACCAATCTGTTTTTGATTTTTAGCTTTATTTCAGTCTTGTTGAGAGAACATACTTTGAAAGGCTTGAATCCTGCTCAATTTATTGAGACTTATTTTGCCTGACGATAATAGAAAATGTTCCATGTATATTTGAGAAAATTTCTTTGGTGCAAATACGTTTTAAAATCACACAATTTTTTTTCTATGAACTTTTTGAAGACCCCCTCAGTTGTCTTCTGTGTCTTTCCTGTTTCCATGTCCCTCGCGAATGACTCAGCCTCTGTGCAGCAGTGTTTGATGTCTTTGCCTGCTAATTCTCGCGTCAGTTGTGGGTCCATTTAGATAGATTTTGCTCCTCATGCAGGGTTATATTTTTTGGCTTCTTTACATGCCTGGTCTTGTATACCAGACATCATGTTAGGTGCAAGTGTTTTTCTATTTATAAAATTAAATTGAGCTTTGGTCTATGATAAAGTTAGGTTCCTTTGAAACAGTTTGATCCTTTTGGGTCTCACTTTAGAGACATTTTTAAGTAGAATTAGAGCCGTGGTCAGTCTAGGCTAAATTATTCTTCATTACAAAGGAGTGAGCTCTTCCCAGTGTCCTGTGAATCCTGGGGCTTTGCAGTCTGAATAGGAGTGACAGATGCAGTCTGAGTCTTGTTTAAACCTGGGGCACTGTTGCATGGAAAACTCTCTTTGTCCAGCCTCGGAGCGTTTCTGCCCACACTGTGCTGGTCAGTATGCAGCTGAACACATGAGAGTGACACTCTGAGCATATCCAGATTTCTCACTCTGTGAGGCTCTTCCCCTCTCCCCCCGGAATGCTGTTCTGTGAATCCTGCCAAGACTACCGTGGGTATCTCAGCTCAGTCTCCTCAATGCAGGGAGTCTGCCAGGCTCTGTCCGATGGGCCTAACACATGTGCCTGGACACTCGCAGTGCAGGCAACTGGAGCAATCGGAGGGCTCATCCTGTTTTCCTCTTTCAAGGATTGTTGTGCTTCGTTGCCTGAAGTCCTGTGTTTTGGAAGTTGTTGTTTTCTGTATTCCATCCATGTTTTGGTTAGTGTAGGTGAGAGGATAAACCCTCCTACTACCCCATCTTGGTCAGTGGTGAAAGCTGTAGCCTGCCAAGGTGCAGCAGGTGTAGCAGGTGTAGCCTGCTAAGTTTGAGTCTCATTCTTCATGCGATGCAGAAGCATCAAACCAGGGCAGTGATGCTCAGCTCTGGGTGCCCAGAAGGTAACTCCAGTTGGGTTTTGTGGAGAAATCAAGGAAGGAGGCAGAAATCGAAAGCATGAGCTTGAGAAATAAATCTGTATACGGAAAATATCTCTAAAAAGGATGCAAATGTCCAAGTTTGCACAATAGAAACACCATACAAAGAAATAGGTTATGAACCTGCAGCATTTTGTTTGTCTCTGACCAGACAAGTTGAAGGCAAAGATTGTGTCTCCCGTGGTGTCCCCCAAACCCTAGGTACCAAAGTTCTTTAGACTTGGGGATTGGGGACTCAGCAGAAGCATCTGGAAGACCCGCTGAGTCTGGCAGCTGTGAGTCTGTAGACTTACATAACCCCCAAAGACTTCCAAATGGCTATTCTTGTTTGGACAATGTTTGAGTATAGTGCCTATGAGAAATCACGATGTTTTATTCATGTGCATTTGGAAACTTTGTGAATAGCAGAGAATATTTTAGGACTTTAGAAAGCTAATCTCCACATGTGCTTATCGCAAAGCCTTTGAGTTTTCGAGTCACTTTGGAATAAGAATATTTTTCTTCCAAATCCACAAAGTCTAAATCCAGCTGGGATCTTTACATTTGAACACTGTGTTTCCCCAAGTTACTGGTGTGTCTAATGCTAAAATAATATATTTAGGATAATAAAGCAAAGTAGGCAATAAAAAAAGCACGAGGCATAGTTGAATAAAATCAGTCTTGAGAAAACGTTCCATTATCACTTGGAGGGACTTGGGATTAAACAGACTCACTTTAGACATGGTACGGGCGTGGGGAGCACTCTGTCAAAGACCAAAGATGGGAAAATGTTAACAAGCTTGTGCCAGAGAAAGGCCATTAGGAAGCTCTGGGCATTCGTTGGTGGGGGGAGGGGGCAGTTCTGATCCTAAAAATGCTGCTTCTGTGACAAGAAACGGGGGCAGCAGAGCAGCTGCTGGCTGTGTTGGCTCCCTCCCAAACTTGGGGCTCAGGCTGATGTTCTACCTGCACCTTGAATCCCTTTGGGTTTCTGAATGACTGGCAGACTGTCCCCCAAGAAGCTTACTGGTACCCCCGTCCAAAGATTCCCTTACACACAAACCCCTTTACAAAGTGACTCTTGAACAACAAAAAAGGTTGTTGCTTTTTTCAGGTTAAATCTGGGAACTAGGACCTGTTCATTCTTAAGGTTTGAATCCAGGATGGCTGTGGGATGGCTGTTGTTACTCCGAGGAGAGATGCAGGTGATCCCGCTGGTGGGAGAAAAGAAGAGGAAGAAGAGGACTTGGAGAAACAAGTGAGTGCGGTACAAAACTAAGTCCCCAGTCTCCATGTCGCGGGGTTGGCAGCAGGAGTCTGAGGACCACAGAACAACAAACAGTTCATTTGCCACTATTCAACATCACCACAAAACTGTCACCCCCTGGGGGCCATCTTTTGATGCTAGTTTGGTGAACAGAGAGTGAGTGAGTGAGTGAGCAAGAGAGCTCCTGTCTATTGAGAGAAAGAGAGAGAGAGAGAGATTCATTCATTCATTCATTCCATTTACTGGTTCACTCCCTAAATGCCTGCAACGGCCAGGCTGGCAGGGCTGAACTCAGAAGCCAGGAACTCGATCCAGGTCTCCCGTGTGGGTGGCAGGGACCCCATCACTGGAGCCTTCCTCACCACTCTCTCCCAAGGTCTGCATTGGCAGGAAGTGGGAGTCAGGAGCTGGCATTGAACCGAGGCGCTGTGATGTGGGATACTGGTGTCTTAACTGACATCTCAGCTGTTGCGTTAAGAGGTAGCTGCACCCCAGCTACCTTTGTTTGTTTTTATTTAATGAATGCATTTTTACATAGATACAACTTTGGGAATACAGTGGTTCTTTCCCCCATGCCCCCACCCCGTTCCCATCCCGCCTCCCATTCCCTCTCCCATCTCCTTCTTCATTATGGATCATTTTTAGTATGACTTTATATTAGAGGACCAACTCTATGCTAATCATAGATTTCAACAATTTGCCCCCATGCCCACATACAACATATAGAGCCCAGCTACCTTTTTAAAACTGGAGTGATATTGACTCCCTCTCCCATCCTTGCTGATGCCCTTGGAAACTCAGTGTTTGCAAGCTGGCATGGCAGAGCATGGTAGTGACAGCTTTAGCTACTTAAAGTGCCCTTCCTGCTCCTTGGTGATGCTGTTGAACTCCTTATAATACTGGTGGGACTCAGAAACCCTTATCCCACCTCTGCCAGAGGAACCCGTGTGCAACCCAGGCTGGCCCATCGGGAACCTGCTTCCTCATGCAAAGAGCAAGGTGAGGATGGGCACAGCACACAGTAGGACCATCCGGAGTCTCCTGAGGTGGATGTGGAGGAGTTCTTGAGGGCAACAGGGACTGCTGCTCTCCACTGAGGGTTGCTGAGCTGAGCTGCTGGCTGAATGCAATCAGATGGTAATTTTGCTAAATATCCAAATGGAGCCTGCTTCATGACAGATGGAGGGTTTTAGGGATTAATGAATTTTTTTAACAGCTTCCTAATTGCAGACACTCATTTTTGACACAAGTGTGTATTCTGTCATGTGGATTAAACCTATCACTCCTCCCTGCCAGTCCTCCTGTCAGAATGACAAATGACCTGCATCAGAGAAGCACTGGCAGGCGGAGCCCAGCAGCCCTCGTTCCAGCGCCACCAGTCAGGGTGCTGCGGCGACGGTGGCTGCCGCAGGGCTCTGCTGCCTCCAGCAATGGGATTGCTCCAAGGATTAGCCTCCCCCGACAGCCACCGTGCATGGAGAGTTTTAAGAGAAACCTCCCCTTCAACAACTGGGGAAGCTGCATAGGAATCGGCTTCCCTCCCTGTGTTTGGCTGTTCTTTATAAATTGAGTTTGCTGGCAAGAAAATAGAAATCTCCAGTTTCTGAGTAGCTGGAATGGAAATGATCCTGTAAATGAGGATTGGCAAAATCTATTACCAAGCAAAGCAGTGAGGACGATGTTTAGTTTGCTTTCAGTGTTGAGCCTGAGTCAGGATGCAGGGACCGTGGGTGGAGTTTTTGCCACTTGAGGAAAGAACCCTGTTGGGTTTTGCTGGAGCAGCGTGTTACTAGGGCAAAGCCAGAGCTGCGTTGGCTTCTCAACACTGCAGAGACCCTTACCTTTGCTCTAGTCCCCAGAATCTTTCCCTTGGTTGGCTGAGTACTCCTATAGGAAGCCCCTGAGGGTAGGCCCCATATCCATTATATATGGGTAACTTGTTGATGAGAAGGTGGGCTTTTTAAAAAATCTTTTTGTTTGAAAGAGAGAAAAAGATCTTCCAACAGCTGGCTGACTCTCCAAATGCCAGCAACTGCTGTGGCTGGACCAGGACAAAGCTCGGCACCTGGAACTCAGTCTGGGTCTCCCATGTGGGTGGCAGGGACCCAATTACTTGAGCCATCACCTATTGCTTCCCCAGGTATGCACTAATAGGAAGCTGGCATTGGAAGCAGAGCTGAGACTCACACTCAGGCCCTTCACTATGGGATGTGGGCCTCCCAAGTGGTGTCTTGACTGCTGTGCCAAGCACCTCCCCTCTCCTCAAAGGTGGCTCTTCCTCTGTGTATGCACTGGAAGCATTTGCTTAGTGCATGACAACACAGGGATGAGTCAGAGAATTTGGAAAATGTCAGGAAAATTATTTGGCATACCAGGTGGCCAACTTTTCCTTTCAAGAGCTGGCTAGCAATTCTTTGGGAATACTGGACTCACTGCAGGTTGCGTGTTTGCTGCTGCAGCAGGAAAGCAGGCATGGATGACGTGCGAATGAATGAATGTGTATGTTCTTTATTTACAAAAACGAGTGGCGGCTGGATGTCGCCCAGGGGCCCTGGTCTTCTGAACATTAGTCCAGTCCCGTCCTCTCGTTAAGGAAACTGAAAGTCAAAATGATCTATCTGGGGACCTGTGCTGTGGCGCAGCAGGTTAAAGCCCCAGTCTGCAGCTCCAGCATCCCATATGGATGCCAGTTCAAGTCCTGGCTGCTCCACTTCTGATCCAGCTCCCTGCTAAGGTACCTGGGAAAGCAGGGGAAGATGGCCCAAGTGCTTGGGCCTCTGTACCCACATGGGAGACCTGGAAGGAGCTCCTGTCTCCTGGCTTAGATTCAGCTCAGCTCCCTCCATTGCAGCCATCTGGGGAGTGAACCAGTGGATGGACAACCTCGCTCTCTGTGTGTGTCTTTACCTCTCTGTAACTCTGTCTTTCAAATAAAAAAACAAAAAAAACTTAAAAAACTTGTCTGACCCCTTACCTAGAAACTAGCAGAGCTGAGTCCAATCCATTCTGTTTCCACTCCCTTTGGGTCTCAAATCCAACTAGACTCTTCTCTCCCTGGAGGCTGCAGCAAGTGCCAGGGATGAATTTTCTATTACATCTGAGGTTTGGCATCAGCATCCTTCCTGCTCGAGGCGATGTTCCCACGCATGAGCCGTGTGTTGGAGGCAGGGCTTGTTAGGTCATAGCGCAGGTTTCTGGAAGGGCTGCTCTGACATCACCCCTACAGCGACGGAGGCCAAGTACTCCCAAATCCATCTTGAACCTGCTTATCCAGGCCAGTGTCAGAAACCTCCAGGTTACGTCTGAAGCTGATTCTGCCAGCTCCCGGGGGAAGGTCCTCATGCCTTCTAATAGAATTAGCGGTATCCAGGGCAGTTGCTTTCTCGGGCCTCACCGCCCTCTTCTAACCTAAGGTACCTCACTACCATTCCTCAAAGCTCATCAGTCAGTTCACCCTTTCATTTAGGCTCATGTATTGCTACACTTTTAATCTTTATTTAACTTGGCTGTAGCATTAATTATTTTAATCTCATCTCATGAGTCACACTCCCTTGACTTTGAATCACTTGCTTAGCTCTGCACTGAATATTCTCTGATTCACTTTTATTCCAGAGGTGGAATTTAAGCTGTAAATAGCTGTAGGGGGAAAAAAGTCATTCTCTTCTTTCCACTTATTAAAGTTTTGTCTTATGAAACACTTAAAATATTTTATTCATCAAATTATTTAAATTTAAAATTACATCCCAGATCCATCTGGCCTGTTTGATGTCTTTCAAAACAAGCTAAATGGACCTGAAATGTCATTAATCCCAATTCTGCTGTTGATTTGTTTAGGAACTGTTTGGCTTTAATGAACAGAAACACAAACTAAAGCAAGTAAGCAAGCAAAAAAAAAAAATAACTGAAAGACAACTGGACACAGACCACAGAGGGTCAGCTGGCTGTGTGGGGGTTCACACCAGGGGTTGGTGAGTTGGGGCCAGGTTGTCCTCCCCCTCTCAGGGCCTGTTCCTGCATCTTCTCACCTGGGCAGTGTACAAAGAAGCCATACACAGCCTGGTCCACTTTGGGCCTCCCAACTCTGAGCCCATCCACGGTCCCCTTTACTAGTGTTTGTTAAACTGATCCTCTAGTTACTGGGCACCCCTAATGAAGAGTTTATCCCAACCAGTGAAGGTTCAGACCACCTGGAGAACCCTTCATCACTCCTCTTGGCTATGTCAGGGCTCAGTGTCAGGCATTTGGACAAAGGTTCTGCTGTCCGTTTCGTGTCCCTGTGGAATGAGTACTGAGGACTATAAATTGTAGGGCAGTGTTTTGGATAATCATACTCTGGTGGCAAGTGAACTCGTTGTCATGTTTGCCTTTGGATTGGGTTTCCCTTTAGTTCTCAGGACCAAAGAAGCCGCTGGTTTTCTGGCTGTTTAAGTTTGGAGCAAACAGATGATTGATTGAATTGGATTGGCCAGCTATGGCTCTTGGGCTAAATATAGTAGCTGCCTATTTGTCAATAAAGTTTTATTGGAACACAGCTACATCCGTTCATTAATGTATTGTCTAGCGCACTTTGACATAAGTTGAGTAGTTGTGACAAAGGCTGCATGGCTCCCATGTCTGCTTCTTTACAGAAATCTTTCTGATCCCCAACTCGAGACAAGAACAGTTTTGGTCTCAGTAGGTCACAAGGTGATGTCTCAGGTGATTGAAAAGCCCAAAGACAAATAGTGTAATCTACAATGAGGAGGCCATTTGGAGAGCCCGCACCACCCTTGTGGTGGGGTCTGGCCGTGGACTCGTTTCAGGGAGAACAGCAGAGGAGAGCCCACTGCGGTGTTTGGTAGATCAGATGACTTCAGGCCCATGCGGCAGTGCCAGTAGTTTGAGAAGAAATGAGTCAGCTACTGGGCAGAGTGAGTTTTGATCAGGATCTGGGTGTAGGTTATTGGGACTTGGCGAACGGGGCGGAACAATGCCTCTGAAGCCTTGCTGGG